ACAGCAGTTAATAGAGCCTCACGTTGATCAGGAATAGAGGGACTAGCTGACACTACTCTACTAACTGCTTCTTGTGTTAACATACGTTCAGCATAAAGTAACCAAGCAATACCAACAGAATCACAAAGAGACTGAGACAGGACAGTATGACAATTATTAAAAATATTAATAAGAGCATGATGTTCTATGATAAAAAAATACAATGATTATAGTTACACACAGTTATGGTTGACTCACTTAACTTCTCAGCTACAGCACTTTCATTCATAAATCGTAAAACATTTGACAGTGAGTCCAAGTTGGCTCCACCTCTAGTGTCAACATTATCAACTCTACGTAGCCATTGGGAGAGGCACTCTGTCATACAACGATACAGATCACCATGATACTTCATTTCAATAGCATCCAGTGTATTTTTCCTTAGTCCTAGTCTCAGTCCAAGCTCATGCCATTTTATTTCTGGGAAGCCACATCTCTTTAACAAGTCAAGAACATCAACAAGATCATCAACACCTAGATCTACATACATGAAATGACAAATAAAATGGCGGATTTAGCCATCATCATGATCATCAACATCCAGGCTTAGCTACAATATGTATAAGCTTACCTAAACAATTTTGAGTAGTAGCCATAGTTCAATAAGTGTACTGCGAGTAGTCTGGACCCCAGCCCAGGTCACCCTCACCAGGCGAGAGTCAGTCAGAAGTCAGAACTCACGGTCTCACAAAACAATGCAGTAGACTAGCACTGCAGTGCAGTGGGAGGGAACAAGGGTGGGGACTGAGGGTTGATAAAATTCTGCCAAACTTCTGAAGTTGGAGAAATTCCAGCAATCCTGGCATCACCACAAGAAAATGAGGACCCAAAGAATAAAGTAGATGAATCAAATGGACGTCTTATGAAAGATGAAAATGTTGAACATGAAAATGAACCAGTAAAAGATGCCATGTATGAATACTAATTCAGAGTGATGATGATACAAAGAGTGAAGAAACAACCACTAACCGAGCCACTGACACTGTTTCACAAGGTGATAATGATAGCAAAGAAAAGAAACCATAGTAATTTTTATGGGGTGATTTTGGAGCCAAAAATGCCTCCGGAATCACCCCAAATTTTATTACATTTTCTGATACATATTGATGTATTTGTGCTGTATAGAAAGTTTGAGCTGATTCTGATTTTAATTTTTTAAGTTAATGCCATTTTAAGAAAACGCCAAAAATTCTGAAAAATACCCAAGGCTATAGCCCATGGATTTTTCCAAAAAATGGCTCAGAAATCACCCCAAATTTTTATTACGTTTTCTGATACATTATTGATGTACTTATGCTAGTCAGGTGGGGCCTGACCCTCGCGAAAAACGGAGAGTCAGGACGCACACGGTGATCACTTTTGTTCTGGGGTGTGGCTGCAGCAGCAGCTAGTATGGGTAGGGCTCATTTATTATAATTACAACTCCACCCATACACGTGTTTGTAAAGAAACCATGAGCACTCTCCTTTGCATTGGATGTGGCAAAGATGTCACTAATGATTCAAAGAACAGATATAACCCTATGTCAGAGCATTGTAAAGAGGCAGTTGGAATGTGGAAGAGGCTGCTTTATAGGGAATAATCCGAGTTGAAAGACTGTGCTGATGGTCTATTAGCTTGCTGTAGACTGTGCAGACACTGTTCCTCAGCTTTACAGAGACTCAAGAAGCTAGAAGATAGTGCCTCTAGCAACATGGAAGATGCCGTGTCCTCTTTATTAGATTCTGGTTTGATCACAGATATAAGTACAGCTGAAGAGCCACAAAGGAAAAAGAAACGTTACACTAGATCTAGTACTCCTACTTTGAGTGGCATTAAGAGTAATTTGAATGATTCACCAGATGTTGCAGTAAGATTATCTATTAATCAATGATGAAAATTAATTTACTCTTCTGTAGATTGTAGTTGAGAGAGGAGAATTTAAGAAA